ATATAGTTTAATGGTGAGTAGGGAAGGTGAACTGCTGCTTTTGTGTTTTTTGGATCATTGCTCCCAGTCTCCATAATTGATGGCTATATTCAACCATAACAACACAAGAGCACACAATAGATACAAACTCAAAGTTAACCGCACCAAACTTGATTGCAGGAAATACAACTTCAGCAATAGAGTGGTCAATGTCTGGAATACTCTACCCGACTCTGTAGTTTCTTCCCCAAACCCCAAAAACTTTAACCTTAGACTGTCTACTATTGACCTCACCCCTTTCCTAAGAGGTCTGTAGGGGGCGTGCATAAGCGCACCAACGTGCCTACCGTCCCTGTCCTATTGTTTCTCTTATTCTTCTTTTATTTTTCTTATATGTACCCATTTCATGTATTCACAACTATGTATACACTTATACTTATTATCTTGTAAACAATTGGCAAATCAAATAAATAAAATAAATAAATAAAATAAAATATTGCAGCCCATTTTTAGGAATCTACCTACACTGAAAAGTATTGAATTGCCTACTCCGATTCAGTCATCTATAAAATTGAAATGGTAATAGCATCACAGAATTTAGGCAAATCTGAATTACAGAATACCATCATCCATAATCAATTTCCATCAGAATACCATCATCCATAATCCATTTCCATCAACATCAATTACACAACTGTTTATCACTACTAATTTCTATCTACACTGTTAGGTTTTGCCACATAGCATTGGAAGAGTCTGGATCTTGTCCAAGACCTCATCAAACTTGTGTGTGCTGGTACAAATTCTTACAAGCCCAAGGCAATGGAGCTACATTTTACCTAAAAATGAAGCATGAAACTCATTCTCTGCCCCCTGTTGTCCTTTTCATATTATTGTATCCATAACAGAAATTATATACTGCAGGTTTTCCCTGCTGATAGTCTTAAATGAATTTTCAACTGATATGAATGAACCGAAATACTGTATTTATTTGTCACTAACTGTGAGGATATTACATTTTAAAGTGTCTAATATTTCTAATGTTTTTAATTTGCCGAATAACAAATATGTTATTGATTATGAAGTTTGCATCAAAAGAGCAGCAGTATAGAGCAGCAAACAAGGGAAGGACAAGCAACACATGCTCAGTTAAATTTTAAAAGGCTGTTGTATCCATATCCCTAATACTGCTTCAAGCAACTGTTTTATCTCGATTAGTTGTGCTTTCAAGAAGCAAGAAGGAAGTCACGCAGATGACGTTTTGACATTCCAAAGGCCTTCAAAATTAACATACAAATATGGATATTTTGAATTTTATAAAGCATGGTGGCTCCTAGCATTCAGCAAAAGGGAACAGGAATCCCTTGGAGATTCAGCCAGCATTCAGTCCTTGACCCTCTTTTTAATCAAAGTGTATCCTATTCAAGTGAAACATCAAGAATATCACAGAATTCTATATAACACTGATCTGAAAGATAGTACTATAGTATTTTTTTAAATCTCTGGTGGGATAATCCATCCTTTAAATTCTACAGGAATCTAGTTCACAAACTCATGTTGTATGGTGGTTAATTTTATTTTGATAATCCAACATGAACCCAAAAAAATGCTTATGTTGATAAAATCACAACATTTAACAAATCTAACGCAAACACTTTTTTCCCAGGCATAATCTAAACACAAGCCCATGTATACATTCCCATTAAAGTTATTCCATTAATATTTTTGCATAACACTAAAGGGTCCTATGAGCTTGACTCCTGCTGATAGACATTTCACTATAGTTTTCTTGATAACAAGAAAAATATACATCTCTATGTGCACTTTGAGAAGCACAAAAGCAAATAAAAATAGATATTGTCCCATATTTTGTATTTTAAAATGCTTTGATTTTACTAATTCATTATTGTTTTGTATAATGTGTATTACCTACAAAGCTTATATAATAGTTGCTTTATGTAAGTTTTAATGATTGATTCAAGGGTAGTTGGTTTAAAAAAGCAGTTATTTTCTTATAATTATATCTGCCTTGTAAACATGCCCAGTTTTCAATTATGTAAGCTAATTTGGCCATCCAGATTCTAAAGCATCACAGGCAGCAAAGTGAGAATCTTATTTAGCAGTTGGACAACTGATAAATAAATAAATAAAGACCTACAAAGAGAAAGTTAATAATTTAAATATTAACATGTACAGTCTGCCACATTTATAAGAGCAAAACTATTTTCTTTGGCCTCTGAGTACTCCAGTTATCAATGACCCCATCAAGACCAAGTCAGATTATAAGCCAAGAATCGACTCTAATTAATTGGGCTATACTGCTGCTGCCCCGAAATAGATGATTGGTATCCTACTTACTAACAGATTCATTTCTGAACACTACTTTAATATTGCTGGTGTTATTAAGAATTCAATACTGTCAGCACAACTGCAGCCTTTGCTGTTATCCCTATATGTATTTATAATGATCGCTAGTCACCACATATAAATATCAAGATCAAACTGCATGGCAAATTGAAACCAGAGAGCTGACAAAGCTGACTCAGTCTGCATTCAATTCATAGTTGCATCAGACCTTGTGCCAAAATGTTAATAAAATTAGGCTATTTGGAGAAACCTTGCTCATTGCCACTACTGTCATGAGTCTTGGAAAGCCCTCTTCCTTTCAGCACAATCAAGGATGAAGTCCTGCTCCAAATGAACAGACTTCCTTTTCGTAGGCATTAAGCTCAAGAGCGTTGAGCACTTAAATATGCTGGAAAAGACTTGGATCCCTTACATATTGTAACTTGCATCTGTTTCAATGAGGCAACTAATGCTGTAGTTTTTGAGGTTTGGATTTTGTTTAGAAAATTTGGGATAATGCAATAAAAATAGTACTATGGAGGATTAACAATGAATATCATAAAATGTGAAGGACATCCAGGAATATAATTAAAACAAATGAACAAGCACTGTTCATAAATAAAAACAATATAATACTATCTATGTATGGATTCATGCAACATATATTAGAATTGAATTAAACATCCAAATCCTAAAATCAATGCCAGAATGCCAGAGGTGGCTTTATAGATACATATTTCTTTGAAAAGAGCATCATTGGAGTGTAAAAAATGTGTGATACAGTTAGATTGTTAAACTTTCCTTGTTACGGGAGCTTCCCTAAGTAACACTACCCACATATAGCATCTAATTTATCTTAGTTCAATTACGGATTTTGCCATTAAATATACAGATCAGTTATGAAAGACGAAATGCCAAAATTAAATAGGAGATGCATATAATTTATCCAGAGGTTAAGCTCCTAACCATAGTCTCCTTTTGAACATTGTAAACTTTAAAATATTTAGAACTTTCTAGGTCAACTAAAACATAATCTGATTCAACACAGAAAATTTCCAGACTAAAAACTCTGTTCAGAAACACTTCCCTAACATGAAAAGCAACTCCATCACTTCACTCAAAACTTCAATTGAAATTAGAAAATCTTTTCTGATGGCAGTTCTTGGTCTGATTCTTTACCTTATTTCCATTCTTCTTGAGCCTCTTCTCTTCTCTTTATATCTTTATAGGATCCTTTGAAAATTTATTTGCAAATAAATCTAATCCAGTTCAGCTTATTTTCAGACAAGTGTGCCTAGAATTGCAGTTGGTACTTTAACATCACATAGGCAGCAAGCCTAATCATATTTAGTTGAAAGGGTCACTGGGCTCAATGACAATTACATCTGAATAAATCTATTAGGACTCATACCACTAATCACTTTTCCTTTAAATTAAGCCAACTTCCCTTAGCCTAAAAGAGAGCTTGTTTAATGGTTAGGATGTAGGATTAGGAGCAGGAAGACCCAGGCTGCAACCAACTTCAGCCATAGAAATTCACCAGACATCTGTAGGTCAGGTACCCTCTCTCAGCTCAACCTATCTCACAGTGCTTCTGTGGTGGGAATAAATAGGAGGAGGGTTCACTGCACACGCTCTCTTGAACTGCTGTACAAAAATGGGGTGTAAATATGCATTCCTCATTTCTTTTTACATGAAAAAAATGGACGACAATCAACAAAACCAGATTATATATGACCATGGCAAACCTGAAAAATTAACATTGGCCTTTCCCATTCAAATGCAAAGCAGCAAGCAATTTAAGGCACCAATTAACAAGTTAGCAAAGAGAAAGTACAGCTATCTTCTCTGCCAAGGACACACACTAGACTGATTTCCAGTGCTTCCACTACCAACACCACAGTCCAAACAACAGTGTTACCGGAAGGGGAAGGGGGTGCAAATGCCAGAATAAAATATGTGAGAGTAGCTTTGGGATACTCTCCTCATTTGTGCTCAGTCAAATTATCCAAGCTTGCTGCTATCCTTCTCTGAAAGTACAAGACTGAGAGTCTTATAGGTTTAGGTACTTGTTTGTAGCAACAAAACAAGTATCCAGAATCCTGCTTTCTCTGACATATTAAGTCACAAAGCCTTAGGTGCAGTGATGGAAGATATGTGGGACAAATCACTTGAGAACTAACCAAACTAGTAAAAACACCAAGCACTTCAATATCAAATACTCTGAACCCAATCAATGATGATGTTGAGAAAGTGTTTCTCCTTTTATAGTTATCTCCAAAACCTATGGCTTTTAAAATAATAGCCACATGAAGCTTTGTGACACTTCTAAAATTGACAGCCTGATCAAGATCCGCCAATGAGCTAGAAGTCCACACTATTAGCTGTGCAAAGATATCCCAATGGTGAAATTTAAAATCATATAACAACTGTTCTGGAGTTCTCTCCCTTATTAGTCCTATGTGAGATAACCTGAACTTATTGTCTATCACAGACACTTTTGCACCTTCCTTCTGAAACAATTCCGATATTTTGCTGCCAAGGTGATTTCATTAGCAGTTTGCAAAGTACTTTTCTGCAGAAGTTAAGGCTGCATTGAGAACTCAGTCAATGAAGTAAGCCTGAGAAATGGCACCCTGGCATGGGAAAAGGGGGGGGGAGGTTCTTTCCATTACCTGAATGAAACCCCACATAGGATGGAGCATCCAGTGAAGCAGCAAAGAAGGCCAGCAGCACTGAAGGAAGAGCAAGACTTTTCGGATTAACATCACGACTCTGGAGGAAATGGGAGCTCCTTCTCACAATCTGGGTATCTGGAGAAAGAAATCAGACAGCAACAATGCTGTAGTGAACCCCATTGCCACGATACATGGCCACTCTGCCCGTTTCCTCCCTCCCCTCCCCCCCCAGCAAGTTCAAATTGATGAGGTCAATGAAAGAGAAAATAAGTAGCCTGTTTTTTCCATATAAAGTATTGGTCAAAGCACTCCGTCTAACTTCGTAGGTTTGGGGGAGGATAAAATATAAAAAGAAACAGGATAAACATACAGTATGGGAAAGCCTTCGTTCGAAATGAAACTTCCCATTAGGCGGGCACAAGCGGTGCATTATTATAAATAAAAGTATGTACAGCGCTAACAAGGAGCTTCCTTCCACCCCGGTTTAAAAATCCTCAAGGAATCAGAAAGAGAGTTGGTGGTGCAGAGGGAGGACCGCCAAGCTAGTCAACCAAGGACGGAACCCCAGTTTTCTGCTTCTCCGGCGGCGGCTGTTTAAACGGCCTGAAAATCAATACAGGCTATTTTAGAAAATCAATCCCCTTACCCTGGGAGGGCGGAATGGGCCGCGTCTCGCTGGGAGGATGCCGTCGCGCTGCGCTTCCTTTTACATAGCGGAGCAGAACTGCGATCGGGGGAAGGAGAGGGAAAGGCAGCTTTGAAAACAAAGTTTTGCAAGGAAAAGCCGATCTTTTCCCACACGGCAGATCCGCCCGAAGTTCCCCTTTCGCTGCTCCACCACCACCTAGCGCCGACAAGAGTCTGTTCACACAGGAGGAGGAGGAGGGGGGGGGGACGACTCCTTTTTCCCGGAAGAGAGGAGGGTCCCCCTTCCACACAAAACGCGTGGTATAGATGGGAAGCCAGTCTTTCTCGTACGTGGGGCGATGGCGAGCGGGGCCAGAACGACTCCGAAGGTTCAGTCGAGTGAGCCCCTATCCCCGGGTTCCGGGCGGCTGGAGGCAGGGCACGGCGCGAGATCCCGGTTCCAACGCCTCTAGATTCGCTGTTGTTGTTGTTTGGGTTTTTTCCCCCCCTTCTCTTTGCAACGACTACAGAGAAATGGGTATGGGGGGGCGGGAGGGGAAAAGGGAGGGGGGGTGTCACGGAAGGCGCCTGGTGAAAAAGATCAACTCCTCTCCAACCGCGGAAAGGAAGAAAGAAAGAGTGAAGAAGCGCTCCAGAAAGATCTCTTTCCCCGCGGTTAAGTAGTAGGGTTGTTTGCTCCACTCTATAGTAGCCGAGCTCGTCGCCTCAGCTGCCCATCATCCGGCAACGCCTGGAAGCCGCGGCCGGAGAGAAGGAGCTCGTGGGGTGGACTGAAGAGGAGGAAACCCCGCCGCCCCCACTCGGCTGGAGAGGAGCAGAGGCCCCTTGCACATGCGGGGCGGAAGAGTGGAAAGAGGCTGCGAGCGAAGCCGGAGGTTTCCCGCCTGCGAATTGTAAGCGCTCCCATGTCTGGTGCGCTGCCGTTTCTGCAGTGATTTTTCATAGCTATCGAGCAAGTCCGGTTTTGGATCTGGCGCAGCCGAGCGGGTTGCTTTTGACTTGGCGCGCGTATTTTGCGCGCAAACCAAAGAGCTCAAAACTAACACGCCTTCGGGCTGCTTCCTCGAGAGTTCTCCGGGCACACACACAACCACCTACGCACCCTTTTCCTTACCTGCTGCTGCTGGGGTGGGGGCAAATCATAGCTACTAGAGCCGGAGGCTAGGGGGCGCTCTCGAAGGAAAAGCTGCCTGCCTGGTGTGTGTCGTCGACTCTCAGGATCTGGGATATGGTCTTTGCATTTCAACCATATCCCCAACCAACCAACCGTCATCAAAACTACTCCTTAGCTATGGCTCTTCCAAAGTTGAAATAGGGCCTTGAGCTTCTAAAAGTGGATAAACAATAACCGAATGCTAGCCTATCCCTACATTTACTCAATTACCACCTTTCTGTGACGGTATACTGCACTTGTTCCTGGAGGTTCTGTTTAGTTTTGTTGGGGTAGTGCGATATTATTTTCTCTACAATTCTTTTTTTGGCCATCACATATTTACTGCAGTCGTCGGCTTTCATAGGGAGAGGATGCCTTTGGGACAGTAAGACCAAAGAAAAGTCAGTTATGATTTCATAGAGAAGAAAGAGTAATTAAAAAGATGGCATAGACAGGCTATGAAATGCAGTTTCTCTAAGCTGTATTTATCGTCCAACTTTTTTCCCTTTCTGGAAAGAAACTTTCTTTCGAACCAAGATTTTTGAGAAAATATTCCAGTAATAATTTCTATTATCTCATTTTGATTACTAGAATTATAGGAATTTACTGCTTTTCATGCACCATGGATGAGGATTGGTAGATTTAAACTACAGGCTGTCGTTAAACAGACTGTTCAACCCACTTGTACTATTGGTTGACAATGGAGGCAAACAAATCACAAGGAGATAGGAGCAGTGGTATTTCCGACTCCAGTTGTACCACCTTGTGAGAGCCGCTTGTTAAATTTTTGGGAATTTTGTGAGTGACTGAAAGTGGAGCTAACCTACTACATCTGGTACACCAATCAATTCTTCTGTAGCAAATGTGTCAATGACCATGCCAATTGAACCAGTTATTAAATATTTACCAGCATACTACTGGATTGAAGGGTTGTGAGTAAGGAGAATTACAGTTTGACCATCCTTGAATTAATTCTAAATATAGGAGCAGGATACAGCAGATTCCCACATACCTTTAGGTGGGAGAATTGAGCCCAAACTGGCTGAAGCAGAAATATTTTTCCCTTTGGATCACAAAGCAAGTTATATAAAGGTTGCAAATCTCTTAAATTTATCACATATGCCTCTACTGGAAAATATTTCATTTCTGATGGAAACAGTAAAATGAAGTCATTGCAGACCCTACATTAATCACAAATCAACCCCAAACCTTACTGTTCCTTCATTATCTCATTACCGCATCTAAAAAGATCAAACATCTCAGAACTTTTATTTTGAGGAACTAAATTAGCACTTCATGGAAATAATTTCAAAAGCACAATGACTTTTAATGACAATAAACTGATTTTCCCATAATATAATTTAGTTTTCCCCACCAGATCATTCCACAAACTTTGGACCATAGGTTCCATCTCCTCTGCAGACAGTTTCACACTGCAGGCCAGAAACCAATCACAGGCCTGTTGTATGTAAGTGTGAACTATATGTCCACCATTACCTGCCTTTCTAGAGTGGATAAAATGTAGTAAATCCTGACTCAGCTGTCTAAAGAACAACCCACTCCAAACTCTGCAACATACCCTCTTTTCCTTCATCCTAGGGATAGCCAAGGTGGGGAATGGGTATAATGACTCTGGGTAGGGGGAAAAGACTTTCTTTAACATCTGAATAAAGGAGTAGCTTTTAGACAACTAATTGTGGGCAGCATATTTTTTGTTACCCCATTTATTGTCATTTGACTGGGATGGGACAAATTGCTCATTGGACCAGGTGAATTTGTGGAGGAGGGGACTTGGAGCAGTAAGCTCTTTTCTACTCTGCTTGGACAGCAGATTATCCTGGCTTTGCTCTCAGTGTAAATAGTTCACTCAGCTGCCAACACCTAAAAAAAACGAGAGAGCAGAAGGGATCTTTCTGGATCAAAAGAAGTAAAAACCATGTAAAGTTATACTGGATTTAACAACAAAAACCAGCTGTATATAGATACTGGGTACACCCTAGATTGGCAGCATCTGAAAGTTTGGATGTGATCTGTGGGGTACTTGCCAAAGTTTTTTTCAGTTCCTTCCCTTTTTTCCCCCAGTATTTTGAAAAGATACTTTGTGGTCTTCATTTCTATTGCAGTTCTGTAATAATGAAAACACTGGGAGCCTTTAACAGAGCTTCCAAGAAAGCAAATAGAAGTCTGTTGTTCAAGTGTTACCATAGTCATACTCATTAGAAACATAGAAGCAAAGCAATTGGAGAAAATGAAAACAAACTGAGTTTGTAGCCAGCAGAGTAATGAACAAAGACAATTGCTTTGTGAGAATGGCAACTATGTAAGTCACATTTATTTCATGGTATATACACTAACAAATAATGAGTCACAGTTTTATGTTATTTGTTCTTTATACATTAACCATATGGACTTGAAAATAAGTCCCAGTATATTAATGGGATTTGATCTTTACAATCTGTTTAAGAATGCAGCATCAGTCAAGTAATTTCAAATTTAAAACTGATATGAGATTACTTTGGCTTCCCAGAACTATCTGGCAGGCTAAATCCAGAAGGAATTTATAAGGTTAATAACTCAAAGTCAGCTTTCTTTAACATGATGCCTTCTATCTGAATTGAAATTACATCTACAGTTCCAGTAGATCTGGATTGCAGTACATTATGAAATATAAACTTTGCAAATTCTGTCAAATTTTGATAGGGCCTATCTTATGTAATATATGTAAGTTGGGAAAATAGTATATATAATTATGGAACTTATTTCACTAAATTAGCAAAAATTGGAGTCCTCAATATTGTGAAAGAATTAGAATAATTGTTTATTTTCTTCTTTGTTCCAGAGCCACAATAGATAATACATAGAAAATCCTTGGTACCTGATGTTTACACTGACTTTTAGATTTTCCACTCCAACTATAGTGCAATCTGTACTGGTGTAAATTCATTTACTAGTACCAGGTTTGACTTTGGTATGTGTTTGGATGGTGGTGATGGAATTATGTAGCATATAAATGAATGAGATCAGGAGAAAACAGTGACTCTGTTAGGTGATAATGAATGGATGGTGGGAATAAGATGAGCAGGTAAAAAAAAATCGATATTTGAAGCAACAAGAATGAATGAGCATTCAAATTCTTTGGTGATCATTTGCTTTTTAAAAAAAATCTATTTCAAATCCATGGGTTAAGAATACTTTTATATATTTGATTGATTTGATTATGTGATGAAAGATTGAGAGCTGTGATGAATGATACAAGATTGATGTACAACTTTTGTACACACTGAGAGCTGTATGCAATGAAATTTCATTTTAAAGCATGCCAATTAGAAGAAGAATATAGTCAAAAAGAGCAAAGACTGGTTAAAATTAAAAGTAGAAGAGGAAATCAGTGTGATTCCAGATAGGAATAAAAGAAGTGTTTTCAAAGTGGGAATACAGATCTAAATAAGGAACATCTGATGGAGTGAATTCAGTACTATAAAGGTAATGAAATAAAATTGGGATGAAACTGATGTGTGAGAATATCAGATTAACCTAGTGTCACGGGGGGGGGTGTGTGTGTTTGTGTGTGTGCATGGGTGCATGTGTGCTTGGGTGCATATTTCAAAACAGCAGTCACAATATCATGAACCCTTTTGTACATACTGTTTGTACTGTTCTACAGATGAGCAAAGAGACGAGACTTGGATCCAGTGGTGGGATTCAATTTTTTTTACTACCGGTTCTGTGGGCGTGGCTTGGTGGGCGTGGCAGGGGAAGGATACTGCAAAATCCCCATTCCTTCCCCAACCCATTAACCTGCTTTCCAGCTCCAATCTCCTGTGCTGGGCAACAAAAGAAGACCCAGCCAATCAGCTGGTACTCAGGAGGCATAGAAAAGATGGGGGTGGGGCCAATCAGAGGTGGTATTTGCTGGTTCTACAAACTACTAAAAAATTCTGCTACCGGTTCTCCAGAAGAGGTCAGAACCTGCTGAATAGCACCTCTGCTTTGATCACAATGCTGTGACCACTAACTCACCTGTTTTACTCTCTTATGAATGCCACTGGCTACCATAACTTCAATAATATGACTTCAGAAGTAGCCACTGCCGGCATGGAAATAATTAATTAATTGAAATTAATATCGAGCTCAAATCAATTTCTAAATAGAGTAAAAGCAACGTATGATGGAAGTAAAGCATGTTTGATAATAAAAGGAACATTTAATAAGCAGTTCAACACTAAAGATGTAATGTGATATCCCCTTGATTAACAGATTTCATGGATAAATGAATATGGAATTCAAACGTGTTTGTGAAATAAGACAAAACAGACATAGTAGTGACAAACACAACACTACTGAAATAATATCTCTCCTCACTCTATCTTTCCCTCAAATTTATTCTTTAATGCAGAATAGATAATATCTGGCTTAGTTATACTTTTTCTGACCCAGAGACAGAAACTTTGCAAGCTTTCTGGTGGTTTTCTAAAGGTATTTCTGCATTTGATCAAGTCATATAATACATTGTATTATCTATGTGCAATCATTCTTGATTCTTGGCAGCGTAAGAAACAGCTTTACGTAGCACAGGTCAAAAATTACAGCAGTGATTTTTCTCCCACCATTTACAGGACTTTAGAGCACAAGCCCATAATCTAGAT